TGGATATTGCCGTGTGAAAGTTTCGATGAAATATGAAATTGTTCTGTTTTATTTTGTAACGTGTTTGTTTTTAATCCCGCAATGAATGTGGTTGTGTGGATAACCAAAATTCTACCATATAGAGGTTACTTCATGTTTTCGAAGTAACTCGATTTATTTATATACTGCCAAATATCACCCCATACCTCATTATTTGAATATCAAAATGAATACTAATACGAATATGGGAAAAAATATGACACAACGTGTAACATTGATTTTTCACGAACCCTAGTAGGTATTCGGTTTCATTAAAGTATTTTTGATTCACATTTCTTTAAATAAGTAGACATAACCATTTTTTTAGATAAATAATGAAATAGAAAGTAAAGTTATTTTTAACCTACCTAACTCCGTCTGAAACCCAGAAACGAAAACACAGTAATAGATTCCAAGACGTACCCTTTATTGCGTTCCAAATACATTTAACCCTGTTCGCATTCGCACTGAACTACCATAACACGGCTAGCCCTTACTAAAACATGGCCGCGCCTTACGAATAGGCTAAGGGACAGGCAAATAGGCTCAATGTAATAAAGTTTCAAGGTGAAGAAGAGTGTTACTAAAAAAAGAATCTATGTAGATTTAAAACGTAACCAACTTTTAAATCAATCTTTAAAGCAATTTAAAAGTAAAAAAATATATCTGAATCACATAATCTTTCACTCTCAAATAAAACATCAGCTCAAAACAATTTGAACTGGGATGTAAGTAAGTAGACGTAACAATCATAATGAAATCTTGCTGGATAACTATCTCTATCTATCCTATCCACAAATTTTAACGATCTTTATCGTTTTACTGACTTAAAAATAAATTTTCGCACAATCCCTTGTTACATTTCCAGTAACACCTACCTACTATGTACCATGTCCCCTGTCCTAACCTTTCGCTATAAATTTTAATAGGCACGAGCGAAGGTGCGCGAAAAACATTAGAACCTCGCGCCGCCCCCGGATTTGCATGGAAATGCGCCATTAATACGACGAACGCGTGTTTACATTGTCAGTTTGGGACGAGGAAGAGTGTATTGGTAAGAATAACGTTAAAAAGAAAACGTGTTTATAGCCTTAGAATGGACAAGCGAAGTGCGTACTTTTTTCTCAGGGGCAGCACTAAATCTCCACTAATCTCTTCCCTACTGAATACAATATAGGGTCCTGCATATTCTTTTGAAGCAACTTTAGGACAATTTTTGTGAATTTTTGATGATTTTCCGGCATTTGATACTACATAAAGTGTATCTTCATTCACAGAAATGGCAATAGCGTTTGCATCCAGGATATTTTAATATTCATTCCCTGTTGAACAAAATTCCCCGGTTTCATCAAACTATCTCGGTTCAAGGTCACCTTTGCCACTCCTTTGCGTGACCCTTGCTACCGTCACGTCAACTCTCTCTAGGTTATTATAATAAACGGACAATATTGTTAGATGAATCCAATTCTAACCATATCCGTAACGTAAGTCTTCGTTTTTTAACTGATTCCCAACTATAAATCTAGACAGTGGTGACTGATTTAGTTGCGGCGCTTCTTCTTAGCACTTGCCAAATGTTGGTCACGAAGCGCTGGTAGAGCAAAAAGATTATGAGACATGTGAAGGCTTCCATAACAGCAAAACTTCTTTTTTCTAATATTTAACAATTTGTAAGCACTATTTTTAATAGACCATACAAATAAAGGAATTATGACATTGACTTTGAACTATTTCTCATAAACTTAAGGGTCTCTCTCTACCCAATAAATGCTTCAGTCTCCTCCCAAATACTCGATATTCCCAGAAAAACAGTCGTGAGCTGAAATAAATCAAATAAAAGGCGCCATTATCGGCGCGGGCGGCATAGGGTCGGCTGATGACAGAACGGACGGAACCTAATTACAGGTGCGCGCTGACGTTGCGTAACCGTTAAGGCTCAGGCTGCCTGAAAACATACGCTGGGGTTTTTATTCAATTAAAGTTCGTTGGGATTCTCGTTATGTAATAGTAGTAGTGCTACAGTAATACAATCTTGGTCTGTCACCGAAAAATTGAAAATAGAAATAGGTACTTTTAACTTTCAATTATATACGAGTATTCTTAATCACATGCGTAGGTACCTAAGTAGGTTCGTATTATAAATAGCCTGACCCAACTATCGGCCAACTAAAGGTCGGTGGTCTGCGCCTAGGCTTAGCCTTTGAATAAACTGATTAACATATTATCAGCGAGCAGTTCAAATAAGTATCTTTCTTTTATAAAGTAGGTGAGAATTAAGATAAAAACTTGCACATTCCACGAGCGCGACTCTGCGGACAAAACTTAGTATAAATGTATGATGATAATAATGTTTGAGGACTGTACCTTAACTGTCCAAGGAGTAGGCAGGCAGTATTAGACGAGTACGTCCTTAGATTTGTGCCTACGGCGACCGGTAAACAACGTTAGCACCGGATCAAAATAAACAAGAAAAGTCCGGCCTCCGTACCGCTACCTTTCTGGTTACAAGAAAATTAAATCTATTGAAGTCCCACAAACGTGCCTCCAGGATATTATTTAATTAGGGACATTGATACTTGATAAAGGTTGTTTACTCAGATTTCTTGTACAAATTTCTAATATCCTTATCTTTTGGTCGGCGAAATCCACGAGTTTCTGGTCAGGAAAGTTTGTTAATCAGCTTCGTTCCCCTTTATTGTGGAGCTGTCCATTACCGGAATTAGGGTAGACATGGATTTTAGGCTGAGATATTAGTTTATTTTATGCAAGCTTTGATTTTGATGAGTGCTTATCTTTCAGAGGCATGTGCACTGTGCAGTTATTTAGATGGTAGTGGATGAGTGGGATTAAACGTGACTTAAAATGAATCTAATTATGAAAAACTGTTTCATAATAAACTTCCGGTATTAATTCATATCAAAATCAAATCAAATAATTTATTTGCATGGGTTACATGTGTGGCAAAGCGAACAAAAATATGTTTTCACAACAATTTTCACTTTTCAGACACCTTATCTATACTTATAATAAATCTGTAGAGAGGTCAATTCTGTACATGAAATATATTTTCAAAATAACTATCAGGGGGTGATTAGTGATCGATACTGATGCCAAAAATGCAATCAGTAAAATTTTTGTCTGTCTGTCTGTCTGTCTGTCTGTCTGTCTGTCTGTCTGTCTGTCTGTATGTTCCTTATAGAAACAAAAACTACTCGACGGATTTTAACGAAACTTGGTACAATTATTCTTCATACTCCTGGGCAGGTTATAGGATACTTAGGAATTCCCACGGGAACGGGCATTAGCGGGAAAATCCTTTTGTATGAAAAATCTAAACCGCTTAAGTTAGACGCTTGAAATTTGGCATGCAGGTACCTTAGTCAATTTAAAGCTTAAATACAACAGGATATTGCATAATTCTCACGGGAACGGGAGTTAGCGGGAAAAAACATTTGTATGAAAAAATCTAAACCGCGTAAGATAGATGAAGGGGGTAAAACGGGATCCACGCGTACGAAGTCGCGGGCGGCCGCTAGTAATTAATATAAATTAACTTAGTAAAACAAACGGTTTATGTTATGGAGTCTTTTACGGTTGAGTAATAAAGTTAGTTAATTACTTTTATTTACCATCCTACCTACCACTAATACGTATTAATTAACATCTTTATCTCTCCTGACCCACATATTACACCCCACTTAAATTTAAATACAGGATATAGCATAAAATGTAAATAATAAGGTAATAAAAGGAAATACTTTTGATTACTCCTCGGGGATCGCGTGACGGTACCGACATTAAAGTATACATTAATGTACTTTCGCTTTCATTGTCGTCCATTACGAATATTTACGATTATTCCACTTTTTAATTTGTGTGGTGATAGCATCGATTTAGAGTTACGCGAGCTTTTATTTATATTTAAGCTCAAGGCTTATGAACTCGGTACCTACACATCAAAGCATGTTCTCTGTGCCCATTCAAGTTCAAATAAAAATTAAAAACCAACGAATTAAGTATAATAAACCACATCGACAGACTAAATGTTCTCGGGCATTTCTATATGTATAGTGATATCAATTTCCAAAAAAAGCAAAACTAACTAGAACTATGGTCATCAAACATTGGAGTCCATTTAGTCCAAAACTTAGTAGAATTATAATGAGTATAAATAAATTATTGAATAAGAGTGCCCATAACTTAATTAGCACTTAGTTGTCGAATAAAATAATCCATAGAAAATTCAAGGTGTATGAAGTCCCTCAGAAATGCAAGATAAAGTTTTCAATAACTAAAAAGGTAACTCGATTTGTAACCAGTGTCATTACAAATATAACTTTCCTCAACCGAAGACACATAAAGACCCAAGTTCGACCCCCAGTCCAAAGAGGTCGAGAACTAAGCCAATCCTGCAATCAACGAGCGATCAGTGCGTTGGTTAATCTCATATTTTAGCCAAATCCCCCAACTTGGCCTGTTTGTCAAGTCAGCCGACCCCCGTAACTCACGTAGCAGTTCCCAACTCCAGGAAAGAAATCTCTAACCTGTAAAACGTCGACAGCCGGGGTAATAAGAAAAGTAAACCGCGGTCGTGTTGAACTGTCTCGAATTAAATAAGTTTAAATTAATGTTTCTTTGATTTTGAGTAACGGACTAAAAGTACACTTACCAGCTAACTAAAATTTTTTGTTGTGAAAGATCTTAAATTCGCATATTTTAACCATTAGGCTGAGTTGCACCACCTAACTTTAACCGTGGCTATAACGATAACCGGTGTATTTTGTATGGAGTTTGACAGTTTTTTGACGTTTGTTAAAGTCAAAGTAAGAGGGTGCAACCCAGCCTTAGTCGTCACAATCACGTACCTTTGATGAATTACATTGTCGGGTTAATTTTTGAGGCCCTGTGCTATTGATTCATCATTAGTTATAGGTAATTGCTTTTTTTATACAAATCTTAAAGCAATGTCTCTCTTGTTCCAGCTCGCAGCATGTCCCACCTGATCACTACGCTAGACGTGCCGCGGTACGCCGACCCTCGCAAGGAAGCCGAGCTGGTGTGCCAGTACAGCCGCCAGCCGCAGGACCCGCCGCTGCACTCCGTCAAGTGGTACCGCGACACGCACGAGATTTTCCGATACACGCCGCAGGAGGTAAGCACATACGAGTACATGTCGTATCAGATCACTTCCCTGGAACTGCCACGCAAGCTCATCTTCAGATATAGTCGTACAAGAACGTAAAATATTCGGTATGTAGAAATAGATACGCGATATAAAAATGAACACTTCCTTCGACGCTGATATCGTTAAGTGTCTCGGGAAAAAAAGCTTGCTTTGGCGGGATTTATCTGTCACAGAATATTATCCTTCACTGAGAATCATAACTATTTATATTAATGAGTTTACTGAAGTCCTGTCTGCGATTTAGGTGTTAACACGAAACAAACAATAAGCTCACAAAGTTTCTTACGCTTCATAATATTCGCAAGGACACTAGTCACATAATAAATTAATAATAAACAACCGTAGCGCTCTAATGAAATAACACTGGGTGCCGATGCCACGTAGCTCACCACAGCGGGCGAGCACGCCGCGCTACAAAACAAAAACGTGCTAGACTAGAATTCAATCTCACAACCGCACGTACTAGTATCTTCAGACTACGAGCTACGACGTGAAACCTCGCGTACCTTAACTAATCCCATTTTGTAATGGATTTAATTTAAAAAATTGCTTGCCAATATTTACTTTTGCTTTAATAAAAAATATAAATCTCCTCAACAAATTTTAAACGAGAAACTTGCAAAATGGTTTGAGCTTATTTGAAAATTTATGGCAATCTCAATCGCTAATATTTTCCTTTAATAAATGCCTCATTTTTAAAAGAGACAGTAAACACAAACGCGAAAAATCCCCTCAAAGTAAATCCTTGCTCGTGTTAAGTCATTATTAGGAGGAATCGCGGGAATGAACGTAATCCGTGACACGTCGGCATACATAAAGGTATATTCCACACGTCGCAGTACGAACATTTGCTTTATTAAGGTTGGTCTTCTTGACTGTATTAAGTGCATCATAGCCAGAATAATTATAGATTTTAAAATTCAAATTTAAATAGTTTATTCAGTACATAAGCCCTTTCCAGGACACTTATACATGTCCCAAATATAGCTTGCCCTACCACCACTTAGGGACAACATAATATGAACTGGTGCTGAGAAGAAGTGGCGGAAGAAACTCAGTCACCTTTGTCAGCCTCAGATATCCAACTGTTATTATTAACTACTACGTTTGTTGCTTGGTATATGCTTGCCTAGTCGTTGCCTAATAGTATAATAGTCTGTACAACCACATGTTAGTTACAAGACGTATCAATAAAGAATGATAGGATGCCAGCTAATGGTTTCACATCACTTTTCATTGAACGATCTGTCGGGCTACCATGAACGACACCATTATGCTTTTGTAAAAAGAGAGTCACCACGAGAACTAAGTTGGCACAATTTGCTCGATATTAAGTACCCATGTCATGTTGCACGTACCCTTGTGAGCATACCTTAATGCTGATGTAAAAGGGCAAACGTATTTCGAGAATTCGTAGGTGTGACATTAAATGGCGCGAGTCGCGTCATATCCCGCATTTGCTATGGAAATAAATAGCTCCCAAGACTTTGAAGGTTTTAAAATGTTCGCCTAACACGACGTTTGAGTGACACTTCCATCTGATGGCTTAATGAGATCTTACGTGACTTTATGAAAATGCTTATTTGATGAAAGATTTATCTATTATAGAATTTATATTTATTATAGAATTTGAATTTATTTTACTAGCAATATTATTAGCGCTTGGGAGTCTCGCTTTGTTTAAACTTGGTCCAAAATTTTGCAGCACAAGGACGTCATTGCTTGTCGCCTTGTCAAGAAAGACACAGAAGAGAGAGAGAGAGAGAGAGAGAGAGAGAGAGAGAGAGAGAGAGAGAGAGCTATACAGTTGTGGGATCCCGCTCCCCTCCACTTTTGTTTTTTTTTTCTGTAAAACGTTTGTAAATGTTATAAACAATTTTTAGACTAGGTATCAGAATTCTCTATATTCTTTACAGGCTTGGCTTTCTATTACGCAAAGCGTTTACCGCACGTTTTACTATCGAGCCTTTATCGCGCTCTCACAACCGGTCAACCTTTTATGGCCTTCCCGTATAGATAACACTTCACTCTTAACCCGTAAAACAAATAGTACTCACCTAAATCTGTGTTATGGGGATTTTACGGTTTTTTGTTCAACTCATGAATAAATGTAAAGCCCATGCCAATTTGTTAGTCGATTAACATTGACGCCTAGTGGTTGTCTATGAATGAAGTCAAAGTCAAAATTTATTTATTTGTATAGACTATTATAGTATAATGCTTACAAATCGACAAATATTTTGCTCTTAAGGAGCCTCTACATGTCTCATAATTTTTTTACCATACCAGTGCTTCGAGACCAACATTTGGCAAGTGCTGAGAAGAAGTGCCGCAACAAACTCAGTCACCACTGTCTGCCGGTTAATATAAATAAATAGAATGAAACTATACAGTGAAATTCATCATGTTGATAGTATTACGATACCGCTAAGTTCCTATGAGGTCTAAGGGTGCACTATGAAAGATTTTTTCAAAATTAACCCCCTAAAGAGGTGCAACGGGAGTCTAGTTTATAAGGAAACTACATTAGTTACACTATTTTATTACAAACTTCACAAGAGTAGGTACTTAAGAAGACTATAGATGACCCACGCTGAACTGTCCCGCCAAACTCAATGACAGGGGGGCGCTACCATCGTTCAACTATATGGTTTCCAACATGGCAAAAATCTGAACCAGCGATCCGGTATTGACGGTGGCGCCCCACTGTCAATGTCATCGACAGGACAGTCCAGTATTTTGGAACTATAAGCACAGATGCGAGCTGGTTTGTTTTTCTTTGATTTCAATACGGTTACTTATTTGTTTACATCTCCGCGCGTCAAATAAATACGGAACTCTAAAAAGAACACCTTTAATAAAACTCATAACAGATTTTTCCTTTCTGAAATTGTAGATTGCTCGTCTGAAAATAATTATTATTCTATTCCGTTTGAGAATCGGACGCGAAGAATTTTAATCAAATTCAATTTCACGTTTCAAGTGAGAAGGTTTATTGCTGTACCTAAGATTTTTCGTTAACTTAAACTTTATCTTATTAATTAAGCCTTTATCTGGTTAGTGGCTGAATTTTTCCACCGCACTTTGGATATTAAAAGTAATGAGTTAAAGTTCAAAAGTCATAAAACATAATATACTGGTTCTTAAGGATCAAGGGTTTTTGACCTTGCCACAGCAAGCGAAGAGTTTTCAGTTGTAGTTTCTGAAAATTATGGCTTCATTTTCTATTTTGTTATTGACATTAAATTCTCGTAAATAACATTAATGTAAAATTATTATAGGTATGTATTTAGAGTTTAATGATGACTGTAAAATATTGCAAAACATACCGTTGCCATCACATCACAACATTACGATCTTCCCTTAAGATTTTTAGCTCTACAATATTATTAAATAATTTTGAACCTTAAAATATTTAAGGATAGATTTATGCGTTCTTGACAGTAGATACTTCTCTCCCAAGGCGAGAGAAACCCAACCATGACCCCTGTCGTGGAAAGCTTAAAAGCGCTTCCAATAGTAATAATATTAACATTTAGACGTGATTTCATACCACGAAGGGAGCGAGCTTGGATCCAGACGGATCCGGATAATCCTTGTATAGAATTAAATTACGATAGCGTCACAAAGTTGGCTCGTTCCTCACGAACGAAAATAATGAAATGGCATTTTTATTCTGAGGATGAAGGAAAGTCCTGCCGTTCTTTATTTTTCGAAACTGTAGAAGTTCGCTATGAGCGAAAGTTGTGAAATATGACCCGGGTGAGCGTGCGAGCGAATGGATTTTTAAAATAAATGTACTCGTACTTACTCGGATACTGATTTGAGGGATTTAACTTACGAGAGATGAGAATTGTAGAAGCTATTTTGCTCTTATAGTTTATTAAGTTTCTGCCGAGTATAGCCGTAAGTTTAAAAATGCCAGTAATCTATTTCCAAACTACCTATGTATACTTAGTTGGTTTGAATCAACCTGATGCCCATCGCCGAAGTTGTTTTGTACACAAAACCTGATTTAAATCTCACAAAACAACGAGATAACACGTGCACAACGCAATCTCAATAGCTGACAAATGCTATTCATCGGGCTTAGGGACCGTGAACGTCCGCATCTCATCGACCGGTTATATCCGCTTCGGACCGCTTCAAACCGCTTCTATCCGCATCCATTCCTCTCTGACAACTCGTGTGCAAGTGAACGGTGCTCGGGACCGTGGTATTCGTATTAATTCTGCCAAAGGATGTCGTATCAAACAACGGATACAATATGGCCGCCGCAGCTCAAGCTATGAATAAAAGAAGCGATTCAGCCAGCGCTCTTGTGGCTTCGCTGAATGTACAGTCGCAGAATGAAAAGGTTCGTCACCTTAGTGTCGGTTTTCGCTTGCACTAGGTACTGTAAGAGTCAAATCTGCCAACATAACAGTGCAAGAAACAGTGCTGCTAACATTTAAATAAAAATGACGTTTGCTAACGAATAAGGTTTTGCTTGTTTATTTTTCTATCCCATCTGCATCAGTGCAATGTTACAAAATGTAGTTTTTTTTTTAATAGAAATAATAATGGCAGGTTGAACCAACAAGAAGGTTTTAGTTTATCAATCATAATAATCTTTTTGACAAGATAAATCTTCAAACAACTTTGATCTGAATAATTTTGAACTTTACTGACGAACAGTTAAAGATTATTTTATCTAACTCGAGATTATTCTGTAACATAGTTTCAAAAGGTAATATGTGCTCGCGATTCGTTGAAGGAATCAATTTGAAAACTGACGAACCTTTTAATTCCGTGACTGTACAAGGTAACATTGCCGCGCCTAATGACGTGTTTGTAACATAGCTTCAATAAAATATTTATAAAAATAATTTAAATGAAAAATAAAACTAAAGAAATAGTTACTATTGGCAACTAGCATTCGTAAAAATATCGTGTTTAAATAAAGCGCAATTGATGTTATGGCGTTA